TGACGGTGTCGGAGGGGGTGCCGGGGCGGGAGGCGGCGGTAGCGGTGGCGGCGGCGGCGGCCACGGCGGCGGCGGTGGCGAGGGCCACGGAATAGGCGGCAGCCAAGGCGGCACGGGCGGCAGAGGCGGCGAGAAGGGCGGTGGCGACGGCTCGGCGAGGGCGGAGGCCGAGGCGGCGTGGCGGCGCGTCGGCGGCGGTGAGAGCGGAGGGGAGGACGGTGGGGAGGGCGGTGGCGGTGGCGGCGGCGAGGCCAGTCGCGTGGGCGGCGGCAAGGCAGGTGGCGGGGCCGGAGGCGGCCCGGAGGGCGGCAGCGGCGGCGCGGCGGCAGCGGCGACGGGCGGGAGGGTGGGCCGGCGGCGGCGTTGGGCGAGGCGGCGGCGCGGGTGGCAGTGGCCGGGGCGGCGGTGCGGGTGGGCGGGAGGCGGCCGCCGACGGTGGCGGTGGCGGCCGGGCCATCGTCGGCGGGCGGCGCGGCGGGTGGGGCGGCAGCGGCGCACGAGGAGATCGTGCCGGGGGCAGCGCTGCGGGGAAGGGAGGAAGGGGCGGAGGGAGGGAGGAGGGGGGGGCGGCTCGCCTGCCGCCCTCGAGCCGCGACAGCCGGTGCCGTGGCCGGCCTGCCGTCGAACGCGACGGGGGGACGGCCTCATGCCGCCTCACCGCGAGAAGCGGCGGCCGGCCGCCACCTCAAAGGAGGCCTCTCGAGCGCAAATCACGCGCGAGGCACCTGCCGGAGGGGGTGGGGTGGTCGGGCGGTCAAGGGGAAGGCGTCTCCGGTGGGTGGGCGCCGCTCCCACAGCGCGCGGGGCGGGGAGGCCGACTGCGGCGGTGATACGGTCGCGCGCGCGGGGCGTGGAGGGCCAGGGAGGTGGAATACGGGGCGGCGGAAACTTCCGATTTTTTGCAGTTCTAATTAGCCCGAGGCTGGCCGGAGAGGATTGAGCCGTGCGATTTTTGTTTTTCCGCTGCTCCAGCCGGCCAGCCGTGCCTACGGCGGGAAAAGGAGCGTCCGATCCGGTCCGGCCCCGGCGGCCAGCGGGAACGCCGAGCGCCTCGGACGCCAAGCGGAAACGGCGTTCCGAGGCGGGGCGCGATGGCGATCGCCGGTCGGCGCCTTCGCGGCCGGCCGGCCCGGTGGGTTGCCACGGCACATGCGCCGCGCGCCGTCGCCAGGCCCCGCCCCCGCCCCGCCAGAGCAGCGGCGAGATGGGAGGCGGTCGGCGGGTGACATCGGCTCTTCGAGCGAGCTTTCAGCTCACTTTGACGACGCTAGGAAAATCAATTCGTGGAATCCAGTTCGAGATGCAGTGAGGCGGAGCCTACCCTGATCGCTCCCGCGCGTGCAGGTCCAGGTGCACGACGTGTGCACCTGTGTTGGCACTGCCGCTCTGCCGTCTGCCGGAGGTGTGCGGCACTGGCCACACTGCCCAGGCTCGTCGCCAGGGACGCGCCGGGGTTAGACCGCCTCCCAACTACATGTGGCTGCCTTCAGAAGGAAGTGGTTGTGAAGCGAGGGTTGCCCAGCCCGTGCCCCACCACTTTGTGTGTCGGTGGAGAGAGAAGCTTACCTTACCTTACCGCTTACCTAGAAGCGGTAGAGGACGTCCGTGCGAATCACATACTTGACACCGCGCGTCACCGGGCTCCCCTCGTGCAGCAGCGAGGCGGTGGCGGACTGTGGGAAGCAGAGCGCCGAACCGGCGAGTGGCGTCACCTAAGATACGGGCGTATGTGTGTGTGTGTGTGTGTGTGTGTGTGTGTGTGTGTCTGTGTGTGTGTGTGCGTGCGTGCGAGCGTGCGTGTGGGGGGGGGGGGGGTGCGTGTGCCTGTGCCTGTGCCTGTGGGTGGGTGGGGTGGGTGGGGGGGGCGTCACCTCGAACCGATCGAGCTCTCGCTGCGCGCCCGCCGGCGCCGCCGCGGGCTGGAAGAAGGTGGTGCAGCCTCCGTCGAAGCCGTCGTTGAGGTAGACGAGGAAGGTGAGGCGGGAGCGGACTGCGGCGCCGTGCAGGTCGTGCACATACCCGCCGTCCTGGGGAGATATGGGGGAGATGTGGGGGCCGTCTGAGGGAGCGACAGCGGTGCCTCGCCGGTATCTCGCAAGTGCCTCGCAATTGCCTCGCAATTGCCTCGCAAGTGCCTCGCAAGTATCTCGCAAGTGCCTCGCAAGTATCTCGCAAGTGCCTCGCAAGTATCTCGCAAGTGCCTCGCCGGTGTCTGCAAGTGCCTCGTGCCTGGTCGAGGCCGCCCATCGGCCAGCTGCCGTCGATGTGCGGCCGGTAGATGGCGCCACGTCGGTACTCGAACAGCCTCCAGCGCGGGTTGATCCCCTCCAGCCGCCCGCCTCCAACCTTGCACATGCATACGTATGATATGTCTGTCTGTAGTGGTTCATATGCTCATATGTACGTGTAATGATCCCCTCCAGCCGCCCGCCTCCAGCCCCGTCCGGCAGCAGTGGGGAGAGGAGCCGAGGGGAGCCGAGGGGAGCCGAGGTGGGCCGAGAGGAGCCGAGGTGGGCCGAGGGGAGCAGAGGGGAGCAGCGGGGAGAGGAGCTACCTCGGCGGGCAGCAGCGGCGAGGCGCGCGCGAACATGGGGCCGAGCAGCGACGCGTCGGCGAGCCACTCGCAGCCGCTGGGAATGGGAGGGGCGAGGAGGGGGGGTGGGAGAGGCGGTACGAGAGGGGGGGGGGGGGAAGAGGCGGTACCGGGGGGGGGGGGGGGCTTGCCCCCCCGGCCCCCTTAGCTGCGGCTAGGGCTAAGGGGCCTCCGCAGCCGACCACGAGGAAGGGCCGACTTTGGGTTAGCATAGCGGGCCGAGAAGGCCGCCCACACCCGCGAGGCTGGTTGTGTGGTTGCCTCCCCGACTCGGACGGCCGCCTCAGAGGGCGGGAATGCTTCCTCCTTTGCCTGCTTCCTCGGGCCATCTCGGGCCATCTCGGGAGGGTGAGGGGGGGCATCTCTCGCGTGCACCGCGTCGGCGACGGCGCGGGCCTGCTGACTGGGTGGTCTGTCCGAAACCCCATCCGCTGAGCGAGGCGGAGGATCGCCGCCGCCTCCTCGCGGCCGAGCACGCCTAATTGATGCGAATTCGGCGCGAACTAACGCCAATTGATTACTAATTAGGCCGCTCCCCGCGGCCGAGCTCGCCGTGCAGCAGAAACGCGCCCGGCACGCCCGCCACCTCCTGCCGCGCCACCCGCCCCGGCGCGGCGCGCAGCATGAGGGCGCCCGGCACAGAGGCGTTGATGTGCAGGTCGTGCCGGTTTGGGGGCTGCCGCTCACCTGCTCGCAACCTCTGCGAGTGAGGTGTCTAGTAGGAAGTGTCTAGGAAGTGTCTAGGAAGTGTCTAGGAAGTGTCTAGGAAGTGTCTCACCCGCCGGCTCGACGAACAGCACACGAAACGGCGCCGCCTCGGCCGCGGCCGCGGCCGCGGCCGCTAGGGCCGTCGCGTCGGGGTCCATCGCCGCCGCCTCAAAGGCAGCCTAGTAGTGGGCAACCTTAGTTAACACCCACTCATTCAGGGCAATTCATGCCGCCTCAAAGGCAGCCTCTGCAGCCCGGCGCGCCGCCGCCCGCTCACCGCCCGTCGCATCCGCCATGTCGCTCGCCGCCGCCGCCGCCTCCTCCTCCTCCGCCTCCTCCTCCGCCGCCGCCTCTGCACCCCCGCCCTCCTCTCCGCCCGTGTCCCCGCCACCCTTCCCTCCATCCCCTACCCCACGGTACCCGAACCCACCACCCTCCCCTACCCCACGGTACCCGAACCCACCACCACCCTCCTCCTCCTCGCCAAGCTCCTCCTCCTCGTCGGCGCCCTCCACCAGCCCCTCGCCCCACGCAGAGAGCTCGCCGCCGCCGCCGCCGCCGCCGCCGCCGCCGCCGCCGCTTCCCTCGCCGCCACCCTCGCCGCCGCCGCCGCCACCACCCTCGCCGCCACCCTCGCTGCCGCCCTCACCGCCGCCCTCGCCGCCACCCTCGCCGCCGCTGCCCGAGGAGAGGATGGCTCGAAACAGCCGCGGCCTGAGCCGCTCCGGTGCGTCACCGGCTTGCCGCACCCAGCGCTGCACGGTCCCGGCCTTTGGGGCGTCGCACAGGTCGCGAAGCCCGTCGAGCGAGCGCAGCGCCTCGTGCCAGCGGCCGGCTTGCAGCGCCGCCGTCACTCGCGCGGCGTAGTCGACCGGCTCGTAGCGGCGCAGCTGCGCCGTCACGAGCGGGTGCAGCGCCGCGCGAAGTCCACGAAGCGCCTTGGAGCCGAAGATCTCAGGGCGCGCGGCGAGGATCGAGATGACTTCGGTCGCGGTCTGCACCTCGGCGAAGGTCAGGCCGCCCAGCGGCGGCGCCACAGCAGCCGCTGCGGGTGCCGGTGCACGGTGCGCCGGCTGATCCGGCTTGCGCTTCCTCTTCTTCGCCATTTGGTTCGCAGTGGTCGCGAGACTGAGGATGAAGCGATTGGAGAGAGAACACGACGAGACGCGCGGGGCCTGGCGGGCGAGGTTCTTCCAGCCGCTGTGAACAGACGTGTCATCCGTCCCGATCGTGACCAACCAAAGCCACCCCTCTTCTAAGATCCGCGCTTGCCCGGATCCTGAACCCTCTGCCGCTCCTAGCCGTGCTCGCCGAGCCTCCGCCGCCTCCACCTCCGCCTTCAATCTCAATGTCCCACCCCCCTGCGCGTTAGCCTAAGCACGTTTTTCTCGCCAAGTACTATCTATATTCTTTTGCTTATATTCTCGCCAGACCATCTATATTCTCGAGAATATTCTCGAATATTGAGAATATTTTCACCACGCGAGAGGTCAGCGGACGCCAAAAATCGCTCTAAAGTAGAGGTTTGTGCTCCCAAACCGCTCAGGAACGTCCAAAACTTAAAGATTTCCGTCTGCATCGACCCAAAACCTACTTTTGAGGGGGCAAAAGAGCTGTTTCGAGAAGCTCTAGTCAAGACCGTTCTAGACGCCGCGATGTAACGGCGAGAATATTCAAGAATATCTTGAGACTCGAGGTCAACCAAGGTCAAGGGCTGAAGAAAACTCATAGATTCTTGAGAAAAAGCCGCGCCGGGGCATCTATATTCTCGAGAATATTCTCGAATACGAAAGTGCGCGGGACCATCTATATTCTCGGAGATATTCGAGAATATTGTGCTTAGGCCAACCTGCGCGCGGGCCTTCTAGGCCCGCGGGTAGTCTCCCCCCATCCCCAGGGCCTCCAGGGCTCGCACCTCAACCTCTCATAGACCAGCGCAAAGCGCCATAGGACGTATTTTCTTGTCAATAACAAGGAACAAGGTCTGTGAAAACAGCTGACGCAGTCTCGCCGGAGGGCTCGCACGGGTTCGGGGTCACATGCGCTCGGTGCGGTCCACTCACCCAGAGATTGATCAAAAACGCTCTCGGCCTGGTGACGCGTGCGACATCATCACTCCGCCACGGACAGGTGGGCTAGCCGGGTCTCACAGGTAACCGCAGACAGTCACACCAGACACCACACACTATGCTTCACACGTGAGTCGACTCGTGAGTCGACTCGAATCGTCTAGAATCGTGAGTCGACTCGCGTGTGGCGTGTGTCACGACTCCGAGTCTCGGCCCCACATCATCGCACAAACAATGCACAAAATACAGCAGTCGCGGCCGCGAGGGCGCCGCCATGGCATCCTGCGCGCATGAGCTAGAGTGCGCAGCAGGCGTCAGCAGTCGCGTACATGCGGGGGTGCATGTCGTCCCGCCAGACAGTCGGGCCCCGCCGGCGCGCCGAGACATCAACGTACACGCCACGGGGACTTCCAGCGTCCGGCCCTCAAGTGAAGCCGACGTCGTCAAGCGCGAGCGACTCTGGCCGCCCCTCGAGCAAGGCCGGGTCGTTGCGGAAGCGAGTAGTCATGTCCTTGGCAGCAGCGGAGGAAGAGAGGCGGGAGGGGGGGCAGTGAGGCGGCGGTGAGGCGGCGGTGGAGGCAGTGAGGCAGGAGAGAGGGGGGAAGGGGAGCGAGCTTGCAGCCGAGGAGGGAGGGAGGGGGCGGCGGAGGGGGAGGGGGCAGTGCCCCACCTTGCCGCGGTTGTCCTTGGCCTGCGTCACCAGCCTCGCCACGAGCTGAGGGTTGACGCGCGCCTGCCAGAGAGACGCCGCCGCCTCAGAGAGGCGCGGACGCCCCACCCACCACCACGGACCGGCGAGGCACCGCGCGTCGGGCACCGGCCGTCGGGCACCGGCACGGCACGGCGCGGGCGGTGCGGTGCGGTGGTGTCTGGTGGTGGCGGTGCGTGGTGTCTGGTGGTGGCGGTGCGTGGTGGCGTGTCTGGGACGAGACGCGCCTGCTCGATAAGGGTGCGCAGCAGCTCCGGGTCGCGCGGCAGCGCGCCT